ACGATAATAAGTGCATTCCTTCAATCAATACTCTAGGAAGAAGTTAGCTAAATGAAGTCGCATTCATACGCCTCGTTTATAGAAAAGCAAGACCATCACATTATGTACATAAACTACCAGTTGTCGAGTCAGGAAACGATGGCAAATACCTCCCGCCAAAACCTGCTTAATGCCCTTTGGTTGAGCAAATCATTTCAAATGGCTTGTAAAAGGTAAAAAAGTACGGAGCAATCTCGACTGAAAGTTTTCATATCTAACATGAATTCGCCAATAAAACCAAATTATGACAAAGTGGTAAGCGAGTCTTGATTAACTATACCGCGCAAAAAAAACATCCACCACCAATGATAATCTTATTAACGCTTCCCAAGCCACCAATTCGAAAAATCGTAAACCTCAAAGCAAAAGGCTTAAGTGATTAGAAAATCCTGTGCAAAGGCTTAAATGCTACCTAGCCAGGCATTTGGTAAGAAAACAATCTGGAATGCCAAGAAATGGAAGCGACACAAAAGAAAAACTGTCCAGTCTAGTGCCAATGAAGCACCAGTAAAAAAGTGCTTAGAGAGCCTGAGCATTTAGTCAAAATTGAGTTTTCAATTACATCTCAACAGAGCTGTCATCCCCGCAAAACGCGTAGTTAACGTACCAATCGCATAAAAAAACGATTGGAACTGAGTATCATTATTTAAAGTGCTAATAACTTTAAAAAACTACTTAAAGTGGTCAGTCGGAACCTTGCAAAGTCTTAAATTGTGTTAAACAGGAAGCTCTGAACATTTTACAATAATTTGGACTCAAAACCCAGATGCTGTACCAGTAAACAATGATTCTGTTTTTCGAACCATGAACAAAAGGCAGATAGAAGGAAGACAACCACTATCATCGAAGACACAAACATACCAGGACCAGAAAGCATTGCCTTTATTATGCCGCTAGTCAAGGCATATTCGCGCTTGACATAAAATTCATGGTCGTCCGATGAGACCAATTTAACATACATAGCGTCTGGTCCTTCAGCACCTCCGAATACTGTTTCCTGAGGAGACTCATTCTTTTGCGTGGTAGCCATTCTCAAGCAAGCGTCGCGAGCCTTGATTGGCCTGCCCGAACGAGGCGCAGCGTTAATTTCGTCAAATTAACTTGGACACCGTTTTCCGTAGAAAAATCACGGGTAAAATTGACTCAAGTTTTTACATGAATTTTAATTGAAAATTTTTGTTCGATGAATTTAATTAAAATATCTAACAAAGATTTTTACAAGGTTTTGTATTCTGGAAATTTTCTGAGAGGGTGTAGTTGTTTTTTGTCTTCTAAAAATAATTCCACTAACGAAATCCTTATTAATTTTATTATTACCTAGTAGTTATGAGAACAGTGCATTCAAATCTTCAAATTGATCGGTATTTTCGTCTTGCTCAACTTCTTAAATGAGCAGCTGTCATTATTAAAAACACAATAACTCTCTTTGGGAATGTTTTGTTATTTTTCATTCTCATCAACAGTAGTCAACAAAATATTGAAAAATGCCTGAAGAAAGGCACGGATCTGGAGGAAATAGGTTGCAGTGTGCCTTCCACATGGCTCGAAGACCAGTGTACGAGGCAGATGCAACCCTGTAGGTGGTT